TGCAACTGCAATACATACAAAAAGCTTTTGTGAACAATAATACACGCATGAATAATTACGATTGTCACTCCCTAAGGGATCTTCTGGGACTGGTGTTCATGTAGCTGGAGAGGGTTTTAGTGCAAAAGATGTATTCCTAAGCCTCTTTCAAAGAATTATTTCTCCTCGTATGCAATGCTACCAACAGAGAAAAGGTGGCTTACTGTTCTCTTCCAGGTCAAAGGTCATATGCATGCACACTTAGAGAAAGGCTTGGGAGTTCTAGATTTAGAGTTCAAGATAATTATGACAACTCACTTCGGTACGTAGAGACTGTGTATTCCTCTCCAATGGAAATGACAAGGTGATGGGTTCCATATCCTATCTCACTCGTTATATTGAGTGTGTAGTTACATCGAGTATCTTTTCGAAGCAACATACATTGAACATACTTTCCACTATTAACCTGTCACCTTACCATTATAAATTTGAGTACTTTCAAATATAATCTGAAAATTCATAAGAAACATGATCTTCTTGTGACTACTGAATGGAACCCTCTCATCACCAGAAATCATTTCCCCACCCACAGTACCAGCTACTTCCAGTATCTGGGAAACATTTTCCCCACAGTAACCTGTGAGATAATCAACACCTGCAAATAGAAAAGTATTTTGGCAATCTTACTGTCACAATAAAGCTGAATTATGTATGTGTAAACTACGAGGTAGAAAGGCAAAGGCACAACAAACAAGTCTGAAACACCAAAGCCTTGCCTTGCCTGTAAGGGGGGGCAGAAGTGCCTTGTGTGTGTGGGTGTGTGGATGAGGGGTGGAGTATGGAGGGTGATAGCTAGGGGTTCTCAATCCTAACACGTTACTGCATTGCCGACATGCTTCTTACGGGATCATAGAGTTGAAGCTCCGTGAGTAAGAAGATAAACACACATTATAACACATACCTGTTACTAAGGACGTCGAAAGAGAGAACAAAAGAGTTTGCATCAACAGGATTCTGTACTGTGTCTATAGACAGCAAAAAAGTTCATTTTAGAAGGTTTCCTTGAGTAGCTAGGCAATCAATAGACATGAAGAGGTGTATAGGAATTGCCCAGTAGCCCATGCATGCATACAGTTTAGTGTAAGGGGAGGAATGAACATGCTGGTGGCATTACAATAACTCACTTACAACCCAACCTATTTGGGAACACCCCACAAACACCGCTATCGAGTTTTTTAGAACTAAATTCATGGCAAACTCACCATAGTGTGTCCTTTTACACAGAGCGTTATCAGGATTAAATGGCCGTGCTGCTTGCGGCGCGATAATTGGAGTCATGATCAGATAATGATGTAATGCTATGAGGGGGAGGGCTCTGTTACACATAACAAAAATTACTCATGTTTCCACCTCCAATGTTGTTTTTCCTGCGAAGTCAAAAACACTGCATGCGAGTACTGAGGTAAAATGTAGGCATTCTGCATGTATATTAGAGGGCTCATCATACAATAATCTTGAGGGCATGGGGCCTAACCTGTGTCACAAAGGGATTATTTGCTGGGGATCATGCAAACCTTTTTCGTTGAGTTGAACAACCAGCTAAAGTTTGTTTGACTCACTGCATGTCCTTGGTACGCATGACCGGTAAATTATATGGTCGATTGTCTCCAGTAGCTCCGTACCGGTCTCTTCGGTCTCCCAGTGGTACTACAATCAAGGGGGGGTGGGTGCGCCGAGGCTCAATACTTACTGCAGGTTGACCACACGCAGAAGTTCCCGCTGACTTTTCTCCGTGAGCGAAACGCGGGCGTCTCGCTCGATTGATGTCTGCGCTCCTTGCTTAGCAGTCTTTGTAAACAACCACGTTGCTACATGAGCCAACGGTTGAAAAAGATAATATACATTGGAACCTCTAATCCAGACACCAATGAAAGTGTCTCGGTCTCGCCCGCAGAAACGCTAGTGGTCTCATGCGCATGTGCTAGAGCATCAGTGTTTGCTGCGTGGGCAATTTTTCATTGTTAAATTTTTGGTATGGAATATGCCTCATTCTCTATCATGTTCATAACATTAGAAGTTTCTGCTTGTTTTTCCGAGGATCTTTCACTTTCACCTCCTCATATGTAGGGAGTTGTTTATTCCTGTGATTCGCTCTTCGCTTCTGATATTGAGAGTACAAACAACTAAGTAACATTCCCAAAGGAAGCGAAACCAAAAACACAGCTCCTCCAGTGATAAGATACAAGTAAACAGCATCTTCACGTTTGTTGTTGGAAAAGTATGTCTCTGCAAAAATGCATAAAATCATACGATGCCAAAGCAGCTGGGACACACCTGTTTCAAAACATCTCTGACTGGAAGGATCAGGGAACCAGGTCCCGTTGGCTGTACACACAGCCACACGATTCACATCATTTCCTTGTAGTTCCAAACCTCCGCTACATTCGATAACAGCCTTTGAGCCTCTTTCAGTGCCAGTGTGGTGAAGAGTACCACCCAGTGGTGCAACTGGAATTTCACAGTTGACTGAGAAGAATGGGTTAAAGTATGCATTATGAATTTCTTAAAGTACCTTGTTTGGTGCACTCCAGCTCAGTGACATTAGGTGTCCATTCTCCAGATGAAGAGCACTTGGACACCATCAGTTCAGTTGGTACATATCCCCTGTCACATTGGTAGATAAGCACTGATCCAAGAACACTTCTTTCTTTATCTATGTGTGAATCTTGCGGTAGCATCGGAGCACTGCAGTGTGCTGCATCACTATATAGCAATGACTATTTCACATTAGTGATAGAGTGGGGAATTCTTTGTGTGTACCTCAAAATTATGTTCGAACACTTGATTTCCGATGCGTCTGGAGTCCAGGAGCTATTGCTTGAACATTTCAAGACAATTTCCTCATCATCAGCACACACAAACTTTACTTGACTTCCCTCATGTGTGGATATGGCAGTAATTTCCTGGTTACTGGCATTAGCTGATAACAAATCTGGAAGTCCGCAGCTCACTGTAATAATGATCACAGACTATCTCAACAATATTGTACCATTAAACATACCAGAGTAGATGTTAGTAATGTTAGCAGGTGGGCCCATTCCTCCACAGTTTGTAGCAGTAATTTGCATTATGTACATTTGGTTGTAGAGTAATGTCAGGTATAAATTGTTTCGCCTGCCTACATGGGTGTGTAGGGAATACAGGGATCTTAGTGTAGTGGTGTAATTCGATATTCCCAGTCCACCATCGCTCTGTGGTCTTGTCCACTCCAACAGAACTGTGAAAGTCTCAATGTCATGATGTGTAGTTGTGTAAATGGGAGAGAGTGGGCTTGATGGAGCAACTGTGAAATGGAAGATTAGATACATGCTCTGTTTAAACTGTGCAGTGTTAACTTACCTCCATAATGGTGCAAAATGCAAGCCGACTCGGTTTCATCTGAGGCGCCATTGCCACACCACACTGTCTTATTGTGGAAGTTCTCATGCGCTAAGAGGGTCAGAGTAGATGTGATTTGTCCCAGGTAAATCATATTAGGGACAACGTTAGTGACATTAGCAATAATTAGTCCTTCTTCTTCCTCCACCACTGTTCCTACTGGGTCATGCTGAACACTAAGTATGATGGAGTTGCTTTCAAAGGTGTGGAAAGACTCCACTGCCCATTGCAGAACACCAGTGTTAGGAACAGTACATGTATATATCACAGATTCTCTCGGACAAGCTGCAGTCCTGTTCTCACTGTCTACGCTGGATGAGAGCTCAATACCATTTCTCGAGGGTGCACATGCTGCCATAAAAAAGGATTCCAAAATGAGTGGAGAAACAAAGAACATAGCCACCTGAGAGAGCTTCTGTGGATACTACTACAAGCACTGGGATAACGACAAAGAGCTGCTCCATTGTAATTACAATGCGCAGCCAGCCGTGCGCGTCTGTAATTATAGCCTCCGTGTGCGCATGCGGGCGAGTCCCCCATAGTTTCCCGGGGCGGGCTGTGCTAGCTAATAGCTAGCTAGCTAGCTACGCAAGTTTTCACGCCAGAGCGAGCCAAGCATTTCTTGCTCATTTCCATATTTCCTCTCTGTAGGACCAGCGAAGTCTTGCTTCTCAATTCTTCTTACTTTTCTGCGAGAGAGGCTGAAAACCTCCGCCGACGGAATCTATGCCTATGGCTACTATTAGAAGAATTGGCTGTTAGCTGCAGACCAGCTACACAAAACTCATCGGTAAGGCACAATAGCTAAATGACTCAATAGCCAAATGATGAGCGTGTGGCATATTGATCACAAGAGGCAATTGGTGTGGTACAGGAAGGATTAATTAATGACATAGCAATAGCTATAGCAATGCATACATGCACAATGCAGCCCAACAGTTGTTTAGCTCACTTGTACTGCTGTTACTTTAGAATGTACATTATGTTCTTTGTCTTGTAATGCTGGCCTTTGTATATAACTGATCAGATTCATAGATACATAGCTAGGCAGTATAAACAAGTACGTACGTATATCCAAGCATCACGTGAGTATTCACAAAGCCACGTGTACGGCAGATGGCGACTGGTTGTATGTGGACAAGACATCTGTGTGTTGACAGACAGACGTAGGACTGATAAGCTAACAAAAAACATGGTTTGTTACCATGGCGATGTTTGTGGTCTGCCCTCGTGTGTCATCAGCTCACCAAGGCCTACTCTCTATGCCATATAAGAGCCTCTACTAGTAGTATAATATGTCAGGTGGATATGTAGGTACATATTATTGAGGCCTTGTTGGTAAGAAACCAAACAAGCTTCAGGAGCAATTAGAGTGTATTGCCACAGTAGTCGCCCTCGCACTATGCTGAGATAGCAATTCCAATTATGATGAGCATGCAGGCACGTGTACACCACGTGTACTATTGAAGGAGGCCAGATATGGCTTGTTCTCTCTTTGTGGTTGTAAGTACTTTTAGGGTTTGCTTATTATTGCTTCACAACCATTTAGGGTCCTTTGAGGGTGTTGTGGCTACTAGCTCTCTCAACGGTTCTCAGGGGCCAAATTCCCAATGAAAACGGTGAGCGTTAACTGTGTGTGCAGACATAGTCAGCTAGCCACACCTCCCGGACACTAGCAGCCAATTCTCTCACAGCTCTGGCCAGTTCCGTTCTCTCGGCAAACACATAGTTTTGGGCATGTTCACCTGGCACATTTTCTTTATCATCATCTTCTCCTGTAAACCCGCTATCTTGACTTACATGAACAAGTTGAAGCGCCTAAAGCGTGTAGTTCCAGATTCAACGGAGTTGTGTGTGTACATCAAGAGAGAGTCTGTTTGATTTCGGATGCTTAGTGGGCCTGTATGTTGTTAGTATGCGTTTACTCGGTGTCTCCTGCTAGTAGCTCGCTGAGAGTCTGACCTTGGCTAGCTACAGTCGATACATACCCTCCATTGTGACTTCTTCTGCCTCCAAGGTACACGAAGCGAATGGATCAGGTTGAGGTAAGCCATCATGATTTCATGAAAATCGCCATTTTAAATTTCAGGCTTTCTTAGTTCTAAAGTGTTAGTATTGCTCATAGGTCGCCTCGCCTGCCTGTAGTGCCAGAATAAGCGTTGACAGACACACACAGACAGACAGAACAACTACTGTAACCCTTGCTGCACATGTGTGCCGAGGGGGTAATTGTGTGTGCTGTGTGCTCATCAAAATAGTACTTTTCTGCCTGTTGTGCGGATCAGGGCTAGCGACAACTGACTCTCTCACTGATAGCTTTTTGCCTAAATAACCCTCGGAGCACATGCGCAGCAAGGGTTAGGCATTAGGCAGGAACTTTTGAGGTGTCGTTGATCATATCCAGAAACGACCTAGCAGCTATTCAGTGAGGTGAATAAAATGCGCGGTAAATGGCCACAGCAGTTCTTTTGGTTAGTAGAAGTGCTACTAGTAGGCGAATGCATGGCATTTTTGGCGAGAGAGAGCGACCACACAATGACTGTATCTGCACGAGCCATCCTAGCCTATTTAAAACTTGCACCTTGGAACCACAGAGATTGGAAAGAGGTACAGCCTCGGTCAGGCATCAAAGAGTGCAGCCGCTGAATGGACAATGTGCCTTACCGATGAGTTTTGTGTAGCTGGTCTGCAGCTAACAGCCAGTTCGTTCTCTCGCTGGCTAGATTTGCATGGACATGACAGCAGCGTGTAAAAATATATAAAAAGAAGCACGTAATTCATTCATAATCCCCTCCACTCCCTTGGTTGCTATTCATGCCCAGTAAGAGTCTATTCAGAGCCTCATACTCTGCCTGTTGGGCAGTTCTTCCTGTCGCATGCGCAGTAGCACAACGTACAGACGTTTATATATAAGAAAAATCGCGCTGTTCGGACCACTAGGTTAGCTCGCTCCCGCGGAGCTAACAAGTTGTTAGATAGCTCACAGAAGTTCTACTGTTCCACACCATTTCTGGTTTTGGTGTTCATGCGACATTATTTCATGTAACAAAAATTAGCACTGATTGTGTTGCATAACCAGTCAAGTATGTAGCTTCCTTTTCTGCAGATATTGCTGTTATACCTGGAAGGTGTAGAGAACACGTGGAAGCTACGTATGAGCTAGAAGGCTGGTCAGATGGATTGATAGTTGTCACAGAGACTCACGCAGATGGGAATGATACCTATACCACCAAAGAAAGAATTCCTCAGAGACGCTGTCAAGGTGTATTGTTCCAGCCTCTGAATGTCACTAATCTTACATGCGTACGGAGAGAATATGTCACCATTGATGCTGTAATAGACCTAAAGAGTATTGGCACACATGTCATGGTGGAGCTCCATAACAAAACAACAACATATATTATCAAGCTTGAAGGTACATTACACATGCAACGATGCTGATTGTTATTATGGCTATTTTTTCTCTTCCAGAGAGCAGCTGTGAGTCACGTATCACCAAGAATGCAGTTGGGAGCAACGTAACAATCACCTTTGATCCCCCCACATGCCCAGGGTGGGAAGACCCCAACAATCTTGAATACGAGGCATTTCTGATTTATAGAGAAACGAACAAGACTTTTAAAATTGCCCCTATATCAGGGGTGAATTCTTACCAACTTCATGGTATACCATATGGACTCTATGAGTTTATCGTGAACGCTACAAACAGTTGCAGAGAGCAGTGTACTCTAGTGAGGAAGAAATTTCATGTTCCAGGTACGTTTATGTCTCTAGTATAATATACATTAAGATTGTGTAATAAAATTATTATGTGGTATCTTACTCAATAGAACCAACCATGGACGTGACAGCACAGACTAATTCAGCTTTTCATCTGATGTCAGTTTGGATTTCTCTATTGCCAGGTATATACAGTAACTAAGTGTCAGGCAGTGTTAGTGGTGTGTCTGGTGGCTGGGCTGGGTTCGTTGCTTAATTATGCCCAAGGTTTATACCGACAGTGTCAACTTTCAAACTTTGATAAAAAGTGATCGGTAACTCCCTTAGTGTTTGCTGCCAACCAGAAGTGCTTATAGGATTGCTCACACAAACTCTGAGAGTATTATGTCCATACATATTTAGTGCAGAGGCATGGATCCTCATTGCAAATAAAGCTGGTGCTTTAAAATACCATTTTAGCTACATGGTGAGCCATCATTTCACCCCAGACCCAGAATTACTAGCTTTGCGCAACACGCGAACAAGCTCGCTAAACATCCTCTTGACCGACACCCACTGCATGTAGTTGTATTACAGCATATGTGCATAGAATAAACATTAGTGGGAAGTCTGGGAGTGGCAAACAGCCCCAGTGACCCAGATCTTATCTCTCTCTTCACAGGTTTCTTGGCATTTTTACAGTTCTGAGACTGATAGTGCTATATGCTGCGACCATTATCATAATTATTCTGAAAGATATTAATAATCACCATAAAATGTACATTATATATATGCTGCGACACCATTGTCATGTTATGAAAGAGCTTGTATTATTATTGATCATCACCATAGAAATTAATTGTATATACCTTCATTTATTAATCATTGGAGTCTGAATAATAATTATCTTGACAGACAGCATGGCAGCCTTTTTTAGCTCTCTCGTGGGCACCTTCTGTATGCAAGCACCACTCTTCACCACATTTCTTATATCGTCAGGAGAAAATGGGTACTCGGATTTGCCCGACTTTGTGAGCTAGCTCCCAGTCATAGGTTGCAGTGTGTATCGATAAAATGTCGCCCACCCCTGCAATGTTCAGGTCCCTGGGAGCCGTTGAGATGGGGTCAAAGTCGATATAATTAGAGGGTCGGGGCTCACTTTGCCAACCCACATACACCACCTCACTTCCCCTACGTACTGCGGCAGAGGGGGTCACGAAGGCATCCACACTGACTACTGTGCATCTGTCAGTGAATTCCCCAAGGGGTGTTGTATAAACCACCTATGTTTAACCCTGAGATGACTCTTAACTCCTTCCTCACTGCATTTCGATTTGCTTAGTGATGCGCAGTTAAAATTATAGGCAATAATTGCACACATTTTTTCTGTATAATTATACAACTGTGACAATTACATAATGTTAAAAGTGATGACAACAAACCAAACAAAAATTAATTACGTACAGTTTGCTTAGAATTAGATACAGTAGTGTATGCAACACACAGATGTACAAGCTACATAATCAGTGAGGATACGTAAGTACAAGTTTTACAGCAATTTTTTCAAAGCTAATGGACATCTAAGACCTGCAGGAGAAACACACCCCCAACCCGACCCCCCTCATGGCCCCGCCCCCCCCCCACTCCCGTCCAGCGCCCCGCGCGCCCCCACGGGCACGGTGGCGTGGCTTCCAGATGTACGGCACGCGCCCTGTCGCGTTCCCCCCCCCTCGCCCCCTGGCGTCGGAACCCCGATACGCCTCCCAGCACTTTCGCGCCCTCTCCCTGGCTCCTCCCCTCCCGGCATCACCTCCAATCCCCCCCCCCCTCGTGCCTGTTGCCAGCGGTACACCCTATGTTTAACCCTGAGTGACTCTTTCTTAAACTCTCCTCACTACTGCATTTTCGATTTGCTTAGTGATGCGCAGTTAAATTTATAGGCCATAATTGCCATGCACCACATTTTTTCTGTATCATTAAACAAGCTGTTGACAATTACATATGTAAAAGTGAATGAACAAACAAACCAAACAAAATTAATTACGTCAGTTTTTGCTTAGAATTAGATACAGTAGTGTAGCAACACCCAGATGTACAGCTACATATCAGTGAGGATAACGTCGTACAGTTTTACATTAACAGCAATTTTTTCGAAGCTAATGGACATTCCTACTGACCCTGCAGGAGACCCCAAACCACATTGGGCATTGGTTGTGTCTCCCGTTCACAGTCTGCTGCACTTTGTTCTCCTGCCGGGCCATGCAGAAAGAGAGTGCCCAGAATTCTGAACTCACTGCAACATGAATCCTACGACATCATTGACTTTCAGTGACTCTACACTGAGACTGCATATCACAACACTCGGCTAACAGACGAGATGGAGGGTTGCAACATTCCCATTAGGCTCGTTGGAAACTAAGCTACTATACGAGTATTGATGATGAAACTCACCCACATGCAAGTCACTACTGTGATAGATCACAAAGAAGTCATGACAAGCTTTTGCACACTGGCAGATTAAAATGTCTCAAAATGTCGCATATTGGAACCGTGAAAAACTCGATAACCTCGGCAGAGTATCTTTGACCACTGCTTTTCTAGATCACATGGCTCCATTACCCTATAGGGCTCTTGCCCCATTACTTGTGTAGCGCAGCCATCTGTCTTAATGTGTCACATAAAATTTATTTGGTAACTCAAAAAGTTAGTGCCTTTCGCTAGGCCTCACATGAGCCTGTAGAGTACAGGAGTCATGTAGCTACCACAAAGCCCTTTTTGTGCTTGAACAGCAAAAGGAAGATGTCTTATGTGTTCGGTTAGATTACTGGAACGAGTCCAAACTATTGCGTTCATTCTCCATTTCGCATCCCCGCCTCCCATAGGGTTTTCAAACTCGAGGAGACGAGTTTCTGGATCTAACCGGCTTACGTCCTTTTCGATATAGTGTGTGAGACCCCGTTACCATTTGTTCTCTGCCCTCTGGGAAACGGCGAAGGCCCAGCCCAAGACTGCCGCCGAGCAGGACTATTTCCTCCTACAAGATCGCCCGCAACTGGACGGATATAATTCCTTCAACCCCGCCTGAGCAAAGACAACTGCCACTGGATTCGCTCAGCCCCCGTCGCTTGATCTGGACGATTTGTTTGTTTGGATCGCTCAGTAGTCGGCGTTTTGAATGGACGAACTCTCTAAAACCCAGGGAAACAGCCTTACATATGCCTAACCAACCACAAATCGTCCAAGCGACTCGGGGGTTGAGCGCTGCGATGCTTGTATGATGATCTCTTGCGGCGTCTCGAAGCTAGAGCCTCCCCACTCCCTTATTATTATGGACTTGTGTGAAACCTCAGTGATCTAAATTCTTCACAGTGATCAACTTGCTAACTGTACGTTAGATAACCTGGCAGACCACTACTTAAAACAAACTACGGGTTTTAGACACTTGATTACTACACTCAACATCAAGGAATTATTCATGAGAGTTGTCGAAATACTGCACACAAACACATGAGTGCTCTCAAGATTAAACATAATAACGGTCTGGTACCCGGGACACAAGATAGTTTACTTTTGTATTGGTTTAGCCAGTACCAAAGCTTTCTGGTTAAATTTCAGATAGTATATAAGCTGGAATTGTTTTCCTTCAAAAATTTTTTAGTTTCACTCCGACCTTGACTGATATCATCCCTGTGCACATAAATGCATGCAGTCCATTGAGACCTAACCATGGTATAGTCACGCACCGGGGAGACCGCTAAGTGTGGGCAATCGTCACACCCACATATCTGGATCTAGTTTCCCGTTTCTTATCTCGCAAACGCTCCGCTCCAGACCACGTGCTTAGTTCACACTTTAGTGTTCATTGCGTAGACCATATGTATCATCACACACGAACAGCAACATTACAACAATCATGCACAGCATTAGAAACACATTACAGTGGCAGTTTGATACAGTCCAGCACTGTTGAAGTATCGCATAATTATGTTTACATTACACAAGAGTAGTGATGAGAAGTGACAACATAATTACACAGAACGCGACCTGTAAGTGGAGGTACAGATAGTGGTGAAAACTGGTGAACACTTTAAACCATTATCGAACTCTCAGCATAGACTCCCTGAAAGAGGAGCATAACAGATGGAGCATGTCCACTGAATCCCGAGTGGTTCAACCATCGTGGTGAGTACCCTCACAGATTTTCGCAACTTAAACAAAGATTAACACACGAACCGCAAGTGCCAAGCTACAACACACATGTACGTACGAGGCAAAACCAATCACATCGAGGATTCACAATAAGAATAGATTTTTTTCCACAGGGATTATCCCTCATTCCATGGCCCTCCACACAAGTTAAATGTATTGCACTGATCCTTAAATGCGGACTACTTCACTTGCGTGAACGTGTCTGAATTACTGCGGACACTTATATAGGGAAGGTGACTTACATTCACCAGTGCTATAGCACCATCTCTACTAACCAAATCCTGTGTATATACAATCCAGCATAGACTGAGAAAGAACACATACCTATGTACTAATGTACCCAATTCCATATCTCAACTCCACAGTCTGTACGTCACAGTCACAGCAACTGATAAGCTCGTCACTATTGTTGAGACTGAAGACTACTTCGCAGAGGAATCAACAAATGTTGCCTGTTGTTGTATTCATTGGCCAGGTCCTAGAGTCTGGTGTTATGGCAGTCAGGACAGGAAGAGGGTCACATGGAGCCGTACCAGCTGACGCTGACATTAGTCAGATAATAAGTCTCCATCGGACTACTCTCTCCAGAGAGAGGGGTGGTG